CACCCCGAGCTCCCCCACCCCGCCCCCGGGACTCATGTTCCTACAAGTTCTATTAAAGGCCAACAAAGAGCTACAGTGCATCCTCGATCATAACCTCTATTATTTTATAAGTCACCTGTCTGCGGGCTGGGCCTGGGGCTGAGAACAGGGGGTTTGAGGGGGACACGGGGCCAGGAGCTGGACCAGAGGTCAGTGCCCATCACTCCGATGGGGAAGGCCGGCGAGTAAACGCTGCCGTGAGGAGGGAGCCCACCACGGGCAGAACTCCACAGAGCACTTCCCTCCTCAGCCCCCAGCTCCGGCCCCGCCCTGTCTGCGAGGCACAGGCGTGGTCTCCAGGCCTGGCCCATGGAGCTCGGTGGTCGAGCACCCTCTCATGCACCCAAAGGCCGCTCGTTCGATCCCAGTCAGGGCGCATGGCCAGGGGGCGGAGCTCTGAGCGAGATGCCTGCCTGCCACTGGCCCCTGAGCAGCCAGAAAAGCCTACCTCCCAGGAAGGAGAGAGAGAGGGGAAACCAGTGGGAGGCTCTATTTATAAATCATAATCCGCTGCCAACGGCCAACACATCTCCTTACGAATATAAACCTCAATCAGACAAAACTCCGAGCACTTCATGGCTTCAAAGACCTCAATTAAAAATTAAAATGCCGCCTTTGAAAATCTGGCTTTTATGCGTTTGACAGAAAAAATACAAAAAAAGGCGTAAAATATTGAAATCGACTTTAACAAGCCGTAGATGTGAGCCACCAAAGGAAAACGGATCCACAGCATACGGCTCCCAGAAGGAGTTTTAACTAAAAGAAGGAAAGTTAGCATCTGGAGTTGGCTTTTTAAGTGACTTCAACTGTAAAAAACTTACTTTGAACCTAATGAGCGAACGCACTTTTCGGTCTGCAATGAACCACAGTGGGTGTTAGGATGCCCTCCGGCCCCGTGACTGCCCGCCACCCTCCGGCTCCAGATGAGGGCGATGAAGCCGCATAAAGGCCAGGACTGTGCACGGCCCCGAGAGCTGGCCTGCGCTTCTGGGCCGCTCAGGGCCTCCCCTTTCAGCCCAGCCCGGCTCCGGTCCTGTCAGGGTGATCGATCGCAGTGAGGGGTCCGGAGGGGAGGGACCGTCTTACCCTGGCACAGCGGTGGGAGGGCGTCCCACTGGAACATGCCCACGGGGTTCCGAGTGCACGTGGCGTTGCCGCGGCCCACCAGGCGGTGCCCGGGCTGGCAGGAATAGTGCACGGTGCTGCCCAGCGCCCCCACCGTCCTGTTCAAGACGTCGCCGTTCCTCGGCGTGTGGGTCAGGCTGCAGTAAGGGGCTGCAGGCAGACAGACGCACACACGCAGACAGACAGACAGACATGCAGACAGACAGACAGACACAGACATGCAGACAGACACACAGACAGACAGACAAGCGTTAGTGACCCGCCATCTCCCTGCTCCGAGGGTGTCGGGACAGCTCTGCTGTTCGAATAACAAGGAATCAGTTGCAGTGTGTAACCGGCTCTGAAATGTACCCCCAACACCCATGCCCGGAGCACACGGGGCGCAGGAACCGCACTCACTGCTGGGGGGTCACAAGGGGGCCGCCCCCCACGGAGGGCCGGTGGGCGGTTTCTGAGGAAACCACACCTGCTCTCACCACAGGATCACTTGTAAAGTTAACAGCATTGTGATCACATCTTCCTGATTGTTCCCTTAGCATCTAAACACAGCTTAATTGACAGGTAATTAATAGGTTAACTGATAGAATTTTATCTTTGGGGAAATGTCTGCTTTCCACGATACGGGGCTCAATGGTTTAGGATGTGAGCAACATCGTTTTAAATCGTTAACCCACAGGCAGTTTATTTTCCCTAAATTCATTTGGAGGCGTCACTCAGAGCATTCCCGTCACACCGTTTCTATCCAAGTTTACTATCCATCTTCGAAAATCAGGCTTCTGTCTACCTATTTCTTTTTCTTTAATATGTTTATGGGTTTCAGAGAGGAAGGGAGAGGGAGAGAGCGAGAAACGTCAATGATGAGAGAGAATCTTGGCCCGGCTGCCTCCTGCACGCCCCCTCCTGGGGATGGAGCCCGAAACCTTGGGCACCCGCCCTGAGCGGGAATGGAACCGTGACCTCCTGGCTCAGAGGTGGACGCTCAGCCCGAGCCGCCGGCCGGGCTGTGTAATTTTGAATGGAATGCGATCACTCGCGTGGAGAGCCCTGTCCAGGCAGTCGCCGTCTCCCGCTCACCTGAGTAGCGGATCTTGAAGCCCTTCTTGCTGGTGGCGTGGTCGGTGGACCAGCGCAGGAACAGCTGGCTGCCCCTGCTGGTGAAACGCGCCTGCTCCGTGTGGTTGCCGCTCAGCACCACCAGCAGCGGGCTCTGCCCGGAGGAGCCTGCGAAACAGACAGACAGACGCTGGCACGTGCCTGCCGAACACGGCGCCTGCCGAACACGGCGCCTGCCGAACTGTAAGTCTTATTTTTTACTGAATCAAGTCTCAATTTCCAAATAACACGGATGCTGTCATCCGTGTCCCATGGGCTCTGCACGTTCCACACAGAGTGGTCCCTCCCGAGGTGGAGGAAACCTTCCCAGTGAAACAGCAGCAGGTGCCTCCCCAAGACGAAGGCACGGCCACCGGAGCGATTCCAGGGTGTGCTCTCCACACCTCACCCTGCAATCACGTGAAGCCCATCTTCACAGCAGCAGTCCCCGGGTACACCACACTGCCCCGTGGGCCTGAGACCGCGGCAGTGCCGGACCCGCATGCCTATGCTTTTCCCTGTACTTCCCCCTTTCCGCTTGCAGGGAGGACCCGGGCTCCTCGCTGGCACCCCTGAACCGCAGCTTCGCCGCCCTGCGCTGCGGGACCGGCATTAAGTGAAGGAAGGTGACGGGGCGCCGCCCGAGAGCCCAGGACCAGGCTGGTCGCCGGCAGGGAGGCTGGGCCCCAGGGAGACGCTGGGCAGAGGACGCTCACATCCCAGGGACTGGGGAGGACCCCGAGGTTCCATCTCGCCACTCGGAGCAGAGCGCAACTTAAAACTTACCAACCGTTTCTAGATTTTCCGTTTAATATTTTTGGACCACAGTTGTCAGTGGGTAATTGAAAAGGTGGATAAGGGGGGACTACTGCACACTTAAGGAAACACCTCTGAAAATGGAAATACTCGTTTCTATGTGTACGCGTGTAAATTTAATTTCCAACTTAGCACTTCATCTTGGCAATTCATACGCTAATTCATGTGCTATCCATCCATCTGAGCAATTCGGTTATTACTGTTCATCAGCCAGTAAAAGGCATATGAACACCCATAGAATGAACGGAATCAATTACAGTAAATTTATGTTCACTGAATTGGTTATTTACCAGAACGTAATGACAAATTTTTCAGAACATGTGAAAACCCTATTATTATGTGCAGCCATAATTCTATGTTGGTCTAATTTCCTGGGGTATGATAAAATTATTAACATCGGTTTCAGTCCAAATTGACGATTCAGCCACACTTTCACTCCAAGCATCGCACTGTTCTCCTAAAAAGTCTGCTAGCCCGGTAGGCATGGCTCAGTGGCTGAGCGTCAACCCAGGAACTGAGAGGTCACGGGTTCGATTCCCAATCAGGGCACATGCCCAGGTTGTGGGCTCAATCCCCCGTGTGGGGTGTACAGGAGGCAGCCGATTAATGATGTTTCTCTTTCAATCGATGTTTCTATCTCTCTATCACTCTCCCTCTTGCTCTAAAAATCAATTAAAAAAAATAAAAAAACGAAGTAATAAAAATCAATTTAAAAAAAGTCTATTAGAGCCCTGGCTGGGGTGGCTTCATGGTTAGGGGATCAGCCCTTACACTGAGGGGTCACAGTGTATCCCCGATCAGGGCACATGCCCAGGCTGTGGGCTTGATCCTGGGTCTGGGTGGACATGGGAGGCAACCGATTGATGTTTCTCTCTCTCTCTCTCTCTCTCTCTCTCTCTCTCTCTCTCTCTCTCCCCCCTTCTCCCTTCTTCTCCCGCTTGAATCAATGAAATGCATGCTCTCAGGTGAGGATTTTTAAGAAGTTTCTTAGAATTCTATAAAAATATATAAGACTAATTTAGAAAACTGTTTATTGAAGACTCCTGCAGCATTTATCATCTAGAAATCTGTGAGCCATTATTTATATATTTCTAGTGAAATTGTCATTTACATCGGATTGAGCACCTTTATTTCCGAAATCTTAAACTTCCTGAAAGATCTTCTGAATGAATATACTTCTTAGCGAGAAAGGAGGAGCTGTGCGAGGGCCTCTGCCCTGGATCCCCACGTGGAGAATGATTAAAGCGTCAGCACATCGCTGGTGTGTCGCCAGGTTTCTAACTGTGTGACAGCTGGGACACTGACAGATGTGCATGGTTTATGGGCACTGGGTCCGAGACTGCACAGCGCGAGAGGAACCCATTGCCTGTTCGGGGACGTGCAGTTTAACTTGATAATAGATCACGTTCTTGTGAGAGGAAAGCCTGGCGAGGGCGCTGCTGGCACAGCGGGCAGAGGTGAGCGCATGTGAACCACGAGGAGAAACGTACCGTCGAACACCTCCAGGGCATCGAACTGCTTCTCGCTCTGGAAGCTGTCCACGAAGAGGGTGATGTTGTAGCGGGGCTCCACGCGGATGGTCCAGGAGCAGGTCTGCGAGTGGAAGTAGTTGCCAGGGTAACCCGGGCTCAGGATGACCCCCGAGGACTCCGTGCGGACCTCATTGGCCGGGCACTGGGCTGAGGAGAGACGGAAAGTTCTCCTTAGCAAAGGGAACGCTCAGCAGGTCAGCGTCCTCCCTGCGTGTGCGAGGCCAGGGAGGGAGAGGCGTTCCCACTGCGCTCTGACCCATGGAAGGCGGGGCACACGGCAGGGGACCAGCCCTGACCGACAATAGTGACACTGTAACATCGCCCTGCCACCCAGGACAGAGTGACGCACATATGACATGTAAGAGAATGCTGCATGCATGACATAAGAGAACTATACATGCATGACCTATAAGAGAATCATACATGTATGGCATATAAGAGAAAGATACATGTGTGGCCTATATGAGATTCATACATGTGTGGCATATAAGAGAATGATACATGTGTGGCATAAGAGAATGATGCACATATGACATAAGATAATGGTTCATGTGTGACACGTAAGAGAATGATGCACGTGTGGCACTAAGAGAATCATATATGTACAACATGTAAGAGAGCTGTGCATATATGACACATGCTGACACACAGGGCGCTTAGATGACACGGGCAGATGACGGACAGGAAGAAGAGTGAAGGCGGGAGGAGGGTGCACAGGTCCTATTTAACTCCAGGCTCAAGGCGGCCACGTCATCGACCCGGCCCAGGGCTGCCCAATCTGACGCAGTTGCCAAACAGAGAGGAAATACTGAGCCGGGAAGTCCTCCTTACCTGGGCCAGGTGGACCGGAAGTCCAGCCCTGCCCACCTGCCCTGGAGTGGAGCCGGAGTGACGTGAGAGCAGCGACTGCCTTGCTGGCTCCATCATGGAGAATGAACCCCACAACCTAACCCAGGGCAGGTGTGGGGGGTCCACCCAGCATCCCACGCTTCCCCCCTCAACTAAAAAGCGAGACCTCGCCCAGCCAGCATGGCTCAGTGGTTGAGCGTCGACCTATGAACCAGGAGGTCATGGTTTGATTCCCGGTCAGGGTACATGCCGGGGTTGTGCGCTCGATCCCCAGTGGGGGGTGTGTAGGAGGCAGCCGATCCATGATTCTCCCTCATCATGGAGGTCTCTATCTCTCCCTCCCTCTCCCTTTCTCTCTGAAATCAATGAAAATACACTTTTAAATTAAAAATAAATAAGGGTAAATAAGTAAGTGGGGGCCCTGGCCTGAGGGACTGGAGGCCGTCCCTGGGGTCTCCGGGGAGAGGGTCAGGACTGGGTCCAGCCGCAGGGCCCGCGGGTGTGAGAGATCCCAAAGGCACTGCCTGCTGGTGTCAGGCCTCTCGGCCCCCATTTGGGTCCAAATGAAGACAAGTGTCCAACCAGGTCACACCCCCCGCAGAGGGCGCTCAGCCGCCAGGACCCACCTGTCACCTCCGCTCCCCGGAGGCCACCCCCTCCCTGCCCAGAGGCCAGGCCACAGCGAGCGCCTGAGGGGCTGGGGTCTCCCAGGCAGCTCGGGCCCAGGCGATTCTTTGCCGAGAATGTCCTGGGGGACCAGCCCCCGCGAGCCCAGTGACGTCCATCCCACACAAGCGGGCGCCGTCGGGGTCAGTCCTGAGTCCGGGCACCTGAGCGCGAGCTCCCTTTCGAACAAGGCGCG